TTTCTGAAGTATAAATCAAGAGGCAGCGCCCAGCCATTCATTCATTCCTGCGTGAGCCATGCGGAAGCGCTGCCACAGCGACTTGTGCAAGGAGGTCTGCAGATGACCCCGGAGGACACAGTGGGCTAGAGAGAGGGAGTTAGCATAGCAATAGGGTAGATGCAACGACAGCTGCCATAGCTGTAGTTAGTAGTGAGTGTGTGTGTGTGYTCGAGTGTTAGAGTGATGCGTGTGGGATATCCAGGGTGATCCACTACGTGTCCGAAATTGGATTCAACGGGGGTTTTGAGTTGAACGGTTAAACTCCCATTCAACTCCCATTGCAACTCCGCATTAAACCGAGTTGAACGTGTTACAACTTGGCCCGCGGATTTTTTTTTTGCAGGTAAACAAGTGAAAAAAAATTCAAAAAATATGGGGGTGTAGATTTTTTTGTTCTCTACATCCCCATGTTTTTATTTTTATTTTTTGAGCATTAAAATTATTTTAAAACAATCAAAAACAAAACCAGACTCAAAACAGATAGATTTTTTTTCCTTTTTTTTTTTGATTGATTGATTGATTGATTGGTGGGGGATGGGTCGCCCCTCCCACCCCCACTGAATCAGACACACACACACACACACACACACACACACAGACTCTTACTTGCGCGGGGTTTGAAGATGCCCTTTTTTATTTTGTTTTTCTTGATTGATTGATTGATTGATTGATTGATTGATTGGTGGGGGATGGGTCGCCCCCCCAACCCCCACCCAATCTCTCACACACACACACACACACACTCACTTTCTCTCGCCGAAGTTGCACAGGCGGGACCCCATGCAACTTCGGCGCAAGTAACTGAGTGTGTGTGTGTGTGTGTGTGTGTGTGTGTGTGTGTGTGTGTGTGATTGGGTGGGGGTTGGGGGGGCAACCCATCCCCCACAAATCAATCCATCAATCAATCAATCAATCAATCAAAAGAGAAAAAAAAAAGTAAAAACAAAAAACGGGAAAACCCGTTTTTCTCTTTTGATTGATTGATTGATTGATTGATTGATTGGTGGGTGATGGGTCGCCCCCCCAACCCCCACCCAATCACACACACACACACACACACACACACACACACACACACACACACACACACACACACACACACACTCACTTTTTTTCGTCGAAGTTGCGCGGGCGGGGACCCCGCGCGGCGCAAGTGAGTGTGTGTGTGTGTGTGTGTGTGTGTGTGTGTGTGTGTGTGTGTGTGTGTGTGATTGGGTGGGGGTTGGGGGGGCGACTCATCCCCCACCAATCAATCAATCAATCAATCA